CAGACCGATGCCAACACCCAGGCCCACACCGAGACCTACATCCAGACGCACACCCAACCATACCTACACCTCATAGCAACACCCGATACCGCATATCCATACCCACTCTACTTTACTTTACTTTTTCCAAGTAAAACGAAGATAAAGTGCTACTGCTACGCACAACGGATCGATTTTTTTTATTGAATCTACGCTTCATTGAATCAGAGTGCTGTTTACTACCGATATGAATCGATTTTCTCGGCGATAAGAATGATTTGGTAACTCGAGAAAGACTCAAAATTAACGATGCAAAAAATGATACTAATGCAATTTGACTCCATACTACTCATAGGTAATGCAAGGTATTGATTCGGCTGCCGATTATTCACGCACTCTTAATGAAGAGTGTGCTGACGCTACATTAATAGCACCATCGACGTTTTATTTTCTTTGCAATTCGCGTCCCTCACTTCATCAATCGATTTTTATGTAGCTGGAAGTAATATATGTCTTTGAAGCAGTTGTTTTTTTGGCTGAAAGCGCGCATCCGAGGTAGTCCGATTAGCGTTAAAGAAAACATTTGCACTTGCTATGGATCCTTAAATGGAAGCGAACGCATAAGGCTACACTCTGTTTATTCGTCTACTATTGAAATCTATGTATAGTCCGATGTAGAATTTTGTGCTAAGTCGTTGTATAATCGCTTGAAATGTATTTAATGATGTGTAAACTAATATGGAATAGAAATACTACTCTTAGTTTATCATTGTCTAAATTGTCATCAATATCATGAAGTATCTTTGTAATAACGTTATAGAAAAATATTGCTTCTATTTGTGAGTTCGAGTGCTCAGATAATTCATTAAAATCTGCACCGATTACTATGAGAAGAAGCTAATTGAAAAACTTGGCTCGTGTGTTCTAATCGTTGCTTCATTGATAGTCAATGGTACGCCAACTAAAAACTGAGTTCTGCTCAGTAGACTGTTGACTGATAGAGACCTAGGGCTTACGTTACAATAAATCTTTATATACCAATCGATAATGATATTCGAACGCTGCCAAGGGACATATTTTTCAAACTCTAGAAAAGCTGACCAGCTGATTAACACCATTTTCTACACATATTTTTATGTCTATTAGACGGGTATTTGTAAAATACGCCCCTAACCCACTCCAAGCGCCATGTAACTCGAAGTTAATATCAATCGATAGAGCTTCGCATTCTACACTCATGAGATCCCACGCTAAACCATTTGCTTTCAAAAACGTTTAATAAAATAATCAAACGCCATTTTTAGGTGTGGGTGTAAGTGTAAGTGTGGGTCTGGGTACATGGGTGTGAGTGTCGATGTGGGTGTTGGTGTGGATGCGAGTGTGGATGTGGATGTGAGTGTGAATGTGGGTGTCGGTGTGGACGTTGACTAGGGGTGTCAGCGTTCCCCGTTCCTCAGCATTCCGTTCCTAGGAACGGGAACGCTTGTCAAAATCGCATTTCACGCTATATTTCAACATGGCGAGGTCTCTAGACATATTCACTTTTCTTTTTATGTTTGAGTGTTCAGCGTTCCCCGTTCCTGAGAACGGGGAACGGGGTAGTGTTCCCCGTTCCCAGGAACGGGAACGGAGTAGCGTTCCCCGTTCCTAGGAACGGAATGCTGAGGAACGGGGCACGTTGACATCCCTAATTTTTATGAAATTGGCTTTCCTTCGGTGAATTAGTAAAATTTCTGTTAAAAGTGAAAGAAACGTATGTTGCGTTCCAGTTTCTAGGAATGGAACGCTGAGGAACGGGATAGCGTTCCCCGTTCCCAGGAACGGGAACGGGATAGTGTTCCCCGTTCCCAGGAACGGGAACGGGATAGTGTTCCCCGTTCCCAGGAACGGGAACGGGATAGTGTTCCCCGTTCCCAGGAACGGGAACGGGATAGTATTCCCCGTTCCCAGGAACGGGAACGGGGTAGCGTTCCCCGTTCCTAGGAACGGAACGCAAAGTTGACACCCCTAATGTTGACATTCTGTGTAACCACACCCCACATCGACACCCCACACTCACATCTACACCGACATCTCACACCCACACCCTACATCCACACTCACACCTAACCCACGCCCGCATATAATCCACACCCACATCCACACCCAACCAAAACACGAATTAAAAAAATGAAAAATAATGAGCGAATAGCAACAATGCAAACAAAAACTAGGGCGTCGGTAAAAGAACTAAAAAATTTCTGTTTTAAATGTAGAAATAAATGTAGAAATAAATAATAAATTCTCGCTCTTGTCATCGATTATTAGTGAAAACAACTACAGTCGACGAGAAATTTTTCAGTTTACGGATGATGTATTGGGATAACAAGGTTAAAGGATATACGTGAGTTCTACATTTCAGCTCCGAAGGAGCTACGTGTAACGGAAAATATTTCTAATTGATGAATATAAGTCTTGAGAGGAGAAATTGTGTAAAACGTTCGGACAGCAGCGAAACGTAATGGTTTATTGAATAATAATAAGAATAACAAGTAACAATAAATGTATTGAATTCACACAGCAAACAATACACACTAGATTCTGTTCGTATACATATAACTTCTTTATATGTACTTCAGGTTCAGACTCTATTCCGTTTTCAAGTCTCAATTCAGAACAACTTCTAAGAACGTACGTTACACTAGTTTCGAGTACGTCTTACTCTAACTGGATACAGCTATCCACTCGATACCACTACCAACTGTCTATATCAGAATATCTCCCAGAGAGAAAAGGAAAAGGGGAGAGAAAGAGAAAAAGAGAGAGAGAGAGAGAGAACGAGAGAGAAATACAGAGAAAAATCCAAGGAGAAAGAATGTATTCCGAGAAGAAAGGAAACAGGAAGTAGGAGAGAAAAGATCACGTAGTACTGAAATGGATAACAGGAGTATCGTTCGAAAGGATGTCCGTCTATTTTCTTGGCACACTACGCTGACAAGCCTTTTTTGCTGTTTTTTTTGTTAGGTGTCCACCATGTCGTGGTTTTACTCCAAAATTAGCTGAATTTTATGAATCATATGCACACGATAAAAATTTTCAAATAATATTCATAATTTTCGATAATGATGAAGATTCATTTAATGAATATCATCAAGAAATGCCTTCTTTAGCGTTAGCTTTTCATGATCGTGAGAAAAAAGAAGAGTTAGGTAAAAAAGTTAATGTTTCCAGTATTCCAACATTAATTTTATTGGATGAAGATTCAGGAGATATTATATGTACGGATGCAAGAAATCGAGTTGTATCGGACGATACAGGAGAGAATTTTCCATGGTATTCATCATAAAAAAAACTTCTTTTTTTTTAATTACATTTTACTATCGACCAAATATTCTATTTTTCTTTCTTTTTCTTTGTTCTTGTCTCACACTTCATTTTCAAATAAACTCGCTCACATATTAGAAGACGCGTCCTGAATAGAAATCCGCCGCGGTAAATGTTGTGACATTTATTATAAAAGAGCTGCGTTTTCTGAAAGACAAACATTTAAAAAATTTTTTTAAAACCTTTTCTCATTGAACAACTACTGGATGGATGCACGGTGTCGGTGTGGGTTTGACTAAATAGAAGATCCACACCCTACACTACATTAACAAATTTTTTTCTTCGTAGACTATGCCAGAATTGGCCCAGGTGAATCAACAAGTATCACATGCCTATTTCGGCTTTTGGTGGGTGTCGGTGTGGAATATGTAAGTGTGGATAATTGCAGATGCTTATGCAACTTTATGAACCACTCAAACCTATTCCAACAGTACTAACATTTAGATAATATCGCCTTGCACCCGATACAATACAGAGATATGCACCACCAACATGTAATCATTCTAACTTACACCTTCGACTACCCACGTCCAAAGCACATTCCAGAACCGAAGTGTAGCAACTTTCACTTACCTACACATATACGCGCACGCTCTCAACCAACGAATCCACAAGAAGAGTAAAGTATTCACTGAAAAATTTCAAATCTCAGCTTCGTGCTCACATCAGATAGCCTCTAACGATCTTGAGGATGTGGGCGAGTGTGGGTGATCACAAGACTAACACTCAACACCAACATCCACACCTTCACATACACATCATCATAGTTACACTCACACCCGTATCCACACGCACAGATACATCCACCGACACCCCTCAGGGGAATATCTACATATTCTTCGTCATCGAAGAAATACTGATCATTTTCATGCAGCCATTCTCTTCTTTTGTTACAGAAGTGGAGATTTTCATGGATGCAGGAAAAGTTTCTCCTCTTCAGTAGTTTCAACCACATAGTAATGTCGAAAATTTTCACTTCGATAGGCGAAAAACTTTTTTAACCTCTTTCCCTGGGTTTGTACGTCAGGTACGCTCTGGCTTGAGTCGCCAACTCATAATTCACTCTGTCCGCCCCGAAAATTGTATATTTTCGAATATAAATAGAGGTTCGGCGATGCTATTCTTATCGCAAAATTTCCAAGCAATTTGCTCTCGTTCTATAGTCGTAGCAGTCTTTGCCTGATCGACATGGACAGGTATTCGGCATTTTCTTCTGTGACAAGATAATTGGCTGAAATTTGCAGGAAACATAGAAGAAAAGCTTCGGAGGATACAGTTAGAATTTCACCTTGAAATAGCTTAGTCTTAAATAGTTAGGCTATTTATAATGGTGACATACGATTTCTGGAAAAGTGAAGTTAGCTATAAAATTGCCTGCATTCTTTCAGAACTCAACTAATTAAACTCATATTTTCTGTGCTGAAAGCTCCACTGAATAGCTACAATTTGATCAGTAAAATAACCAAAAATCTTCTGATCCCTATGAGAAACAACGATCGAAATAAAGATCAGATGCAACTCTGGATTTCATGAAATATAGATGCATTTGATCTGCGGTTTGTGCCACCGATCAGAGTATACGAAGAAAAGTATTTCTGAAAAGTTTCAGTCCATAAGCCTGTAAAGAGTCCAAGGTCCAGTGTCCCGGACACTTTGAGTTAGTGTCCTATCATGAAGGGGAACACCACTTGATAATGAATACTGAAACTTCTCAGAATTCATAACAATTAACAAGAATCCACGAGGATCCATTATTCTACCTTTAGTTTTTCACTGTCGGATGGACGCATCATTGTGGTTCTCAAAAGCAATGCCTTTTATTTATCATCCAGATTACATAAATGTAGAATATGAAGATTTTGTTTTTTCATAGTGTTCTGAAAGGTTGTGCACTATTTATGCGCGAGAATTGCTCAAGCTGCCACCACCTGTTCGGCCAGTTGTCGTACGGCTGCCAACATCGTTACAATAGCTAGCCGGCGAATTGGTAATCGTCAACGTTTTCCCATCATCCGTAACTGCCCATGTTATAGTCTCACCATTGAGTGCAGTCTGCGTGAATGAGTTGCCAGCTGGATAGAGAACCGTTATCGAAGAATAACTTCGTCCACAGCTTGGACTTGCTCCTGCCAAGAGATGCAGGTATTGACCAAAGCGCGTGCCAGTAACACTGCCTGTAGTGCAACAGCATTTTGTCGTATCGCATTGGCCTGCAAGTTGGAATGGACCCGCCCATACTCCTGCCGACTGACCTAAACTTCTACCAATTGCCAGCAGAGCAATGAAGCAACAAAGTAAGAGTGTCTGCATCGTACAGTGAAATTTGCTTCTCAGTAAGTGATGTTGATTAAACGAATATTGCTGTACAGCTGTTGCCTTATATATAGTATCTTACTTCCGAGTTCTCCAATCGTTCTTTGATTGATCAGCTAATGGGGCAGCACAATTTCATCTATATTTAATACTTCCAAGTTAAACTGCGTATGACAGAAATATTATGCTGGAAGCGACTAAGCACTCAAAAAGGTATACAAAGCACAGCATATGACAAACATTTTACTCCGTAATTCGTTTTTACCTTCAACTAACAGCACTACAAACTGCATTTTCATCTTTTATCGACGACTTACACAGATGCATCAAAGCAAAACGTAAAATGAGATCCTATGTAACAAAAATCGAGAAAACAACGGCTGTTTGGGTGATTTTACCAGTTCGGTAACCCGCTGCGTGTGGGTCTTCGTGTGCGCGTGGGTGTCGGCGTGAGAGCATGTGGATGTACGATTATAAATCCATACCCACACCAACACATCCCCACACCCAGACCAATACACACCAGCCACACCGACACCGACACACGCACATTCACATCCAAATCCATACCCATACTCACATCCTCACCTACACCCACAAACTCACATCCATACCCACACCCATTCCGACGGCCTCAATCATATCCACACTCACACCCACATCCATATCGACACCGACACCAACATTCATCCCACACTCACACTCCATAGCCACACCCACACCCACATCCACGTCCAGATTCACACCCTCACCCATAGCAACACCCCCACCCCATCCACACTAACACCCATACCCACACCCACATCCACATCCACGCCCACACCCACACCCACACCCATACCCACACCCACACCCACACCCATACCCACACTAACACCCACACCCACACTCACACCCATACCCACACCCACACTAACACTAACACCCACACCCACAAGCACATCCGCACTCATACTCACGTCCACCTTTTTAATATTTCTCTTTGATTTACAATAATTATTAGTTTTTTGCGCTTTACCACAAACTTTTAAATGAACCTGAACAAAATGAATCGCCGGTGTAGATATTTTTAAGTTTTTTGTTAAAAGGACAGGGGCGCATAAGACCGTAATTTCGGCCATTGGACTTTTCCTATTATATTCAGCACAATCATAGATAGGATGAAAGAGCTT